CCCGCATCCCTCCCAGCACAGCCCCCCCTCCTTATTGCAGCATACCAGGCACCCCAGGGCCACACTCTGGCTATTGCTTGACTCTTGGATGGGCAGAGCAGAGCCCCAACAAACCCACAAGCAAAACAGGGGGGATGCTGACCACATCCCTTCCTGCACAGCCATTGTGGCACCAGAGAGGGGTCCAGTCTGCACCCACGTCCCTGGGTACTGAGGCTGGAAGACCCTTCAGTGTCGCTGCACCAGGCACACGAACTGACCCCACAGCTTTGAAATATCCCCATCTTTCTGTGGGCTCAGGTGGGCAGCAGTGAGACACAGGGAGGTGCCAGCGATCCCCAACCAACACGCACACACAGAGGTGTCCATCATGGCAGCAAAAGGGACAGCAACAGAGAGAAGGATGCAGCAGCAGTCCCTGCCCATGAGCTGCCCCTAGATGCAGGCAAGCTCAGGGAGGGCAGGGTGTGAGTAGACCCTAATGGACAGATCGAGGACAAACGGACAGACTGAGTAGCCCTCTGCACCCTGGTGACTCCTCAGACCAAACCCAGGGCAGGCAGATGCCGGGTGCCCCCTGCTCTCCACACCTCGCAGCCACTCTGGTCGCTGTGGTGCTGCAGGGGTCCCCAGGGCAGGTGCCATCCCGCAGCAGCCTCCTACAGGGGATGAGCCCTGTGCTGGCCCCGCTCAGCTCCGTGGCACAGCGGGGTGCTGCCGGCCGCCTCTCCACGTGCCACTGTCCCCGAGGGAAAGGCAGAGCGCGACCCCTTAGCCGGGCTGTCCCCACATGCGAGGTGACACCGAGGGCGGTGCACGTCCCCAGCCACCGTCTCTCCATCACCGCGGCCATCCAGACACCGGGACCGCGGGGCCGAAGGGCTCCGCTCGGTGTCACCGTCCCTGCGCACAGATCCGCGTCCCCTCCGCCCCCATCGCCGCGCGCTCAGGGCTGCAGGAGGTATTTCTCCTCGTTCCTTGCTTCGTCCGCGTCGGACGCCGGGCTCTTCTTGGGGCACGACGGGGTCCTGCAGGCCTTGCAGAGGATGTGGAAGAGGATGAGGATGAGCAGAGCAATGATGCAGTTAAAAGAGATGGCAACGACCGCTCCGGTGGAGAGAGCCGTCCCCATCGCCGCCGCCCCGCGGGAGGAAGCGGAGCCCCCGGCTCGGGACGCGGCCTCCGCCCGATGGCATTGGCGGGGGACGGAGGAGACGGCGGCGGTGCTGGCGGCGGGCGGCGGGACGGCGTCACCCCAGCGCGGCCCGGACAGCGCCGGTGCAGCCTCGGAGGCGCGGGAGCGTCGGAGCGACTCCTCCAGCGGCGCTGCGGCGACGCGGGGTCTCCTCTGCCGTGCACCTGGAGGGGAGAAAGAACCGTCACCGCCGGCACGAGGGGACGGCACGGAGCACGAAGCGGGCTGCGCCACCTCCCTCCGCACATCCCCAGCCCCAAGGGGACTCCGCGGGACGAAGCCCGCGACCTCCCGGAGGGACGCACATCTTCCCATCCCGCGCCCGCAACAAGTCCCGTCCCGGCTCATCCCGGCCCCACAGTTACCTGCCGCCGCCGCGGCCGCTCCGCCCCGGGAGCTGCCGCTCGGAGCCGCGTCCGGTCCTCGCTGTCCCGGCGCGGAGTGGCGCCCGATCCCGGTGCTCGGCGCCGGTCCGCCGCCGCCTCCCGCCGCTCCAGGGGGGGGGCGGGGCGTGGCCTGCGGACGCCCCGCCCAGAACCGCTGGTGGCGGCCCCGCCCCTCCGCGCCGCGCAGCCATTGGACGAGCGCTCTGCGCTGGCCCCGCTCCTCGGCGCGCTCTGCCGGGGCCGCGCTGCTGGTGCGCGCGGTGCGGTGCGGTGCGGACGCAGACGCCGGGTGGTACGTGAGCTGCCCGGGCTGCTGTGAGCACACGTATGTGCATGGGCGCAGGCACACCCCAGCCCCTTATCTGCAGTACAGCAGGGGTGAGGATGAAGCAGCTCTATGGCCTTGCTGGGGACGCACGCGGAGTGCCCCTGGGAGGGGTGCGCAGCCCCGTGCGCAGAGGCACCAAGTCCTATGCACAGTGCAGACGAGGCATGGGGTGGCCCAGCCCTGCTGCTGGTCCCCGTGCAGCCTCGGCTCGAGCCCCAGAGCTACCCATGGCTGGCCGGCCGAAACGCTGGCTGCTGACACTGAGGAACACCCGTGTGGCACATGTGGCTGTGGGTAAAGGACACCCACGTGGCACATGCTGCACCGGTGCTGGAGGCCCACTGGATAGGGGCAAAGCTCAGTGAGGAAGGGAGTCTGCAAGGGCTGAGCATCCTGGAGCCTACGCGTGCCCCAAAAAGCCACCTCTGGGCCACAGGCCGCAAATGCGCGGCTATGTTGTCCGCCCACGAGGGACCAGAGTGGCCGTGTGCAGTGCAAAGCATCAGGGGAAGTCCGAGCAGCTGTCCCGACGGCTCGTGTTCTGCACCGAGCAGCTCAGCATGGCTTGGTCGTATCAGAAAGAAGGCAGCAGGGTATGGGATGCAGATCCGCAAGGCAGCTGGGGACCTCTCCTGGCTGCCAGCAGCACACTCACCTCTGTTGGCTCTGCTGTCCGCTCGTTGGGTGGGCTTCGCTTGGGGAATCTCCATACTGCGGCCCGTGGATAGAGCCCAGTGTGCCGCTGCATCCACCTGGGAACGATTTTTGTACTGCAAAAGATATAAACTCACTCTGCAGCTCTGACTGGGAGCTGAGGGGAGTGCTGCCACAAGGAAGGATTGTAAGGGCTATTTCAGGATCTAGCTCTAAGTTGAGGGTGTTGAACAGTAAACACAGACACGCTGCTCATTGCAATGCAGGCAGTGCAATCAGATGCTCAATCATCTTTCCTTAGCATTTATCTCTGAACTGCTAATTAGTTAGTAAAGGCTACTACTAGTCAGCCTGCTACTCAGCTCAGGCATCAGTCACCAAGCTTTCAGCTGTGGGCTCATGCTGGCACAGCAGAGCCACACAAGGACATGGCATGGCCCTGCAGCTCCTTCCTGCCCAGCAGCTGCTCCAGGATCAAAGCTGTGGCACACAATGTGATGCTCTATCCCCTGCTTCATTCAGTAGCATTCAGGACAAGTATTTTCAAGACTGCTCTTCCAGAGAGTTCAAAGGAAAATTAAAAAGAACAGCAAAAAGTTTCCCCCCAAAATACCATCCCAGCTTTTCCATTGGTAGAAAAGGTAAATGGCAAAGGAAAACCTTTCTCCACCATCAGGGTCCACTTATAGGAGAAAAATGCCTGCAGCTGCAGCCCCCTCAGTAATGCTGAGGGTGACCTCCAGTGCAACGAAGAAGACACAATACATGTTTTATCACTTAAAAACTTTATTTTAAACCCATCTCTATGCATCATAAAGGAACAGAAAGGGGAAACAAGCATCCTCTGGAGCTTACCATTGCCACCTCAGTGCACTTGCCCTTGCCTACGTTGTTTCAGTATGGCGATGACTTTAGTTGACTCCTGCCAGAGGTGTAACTGTCAGCTCCAGAGAGGAAGTGAAAGTAGGACAGAAAGGGATGATTGGCACACAGTGAGTTGCATCCCTGCAGTCCCACATCTAAATCATCAGGACACTGGAAGGCTTGAGCAGAAGATGGCCTCTCAGGCACAGGTGAAGTGGCCGATCCAGCCCAGAACGACACCATCCGCACACAGGAGTTGCGATGACGGGCTGGCAGCCCAAGCTGGGCCACGTCTCCCCTCTAGGAGCTGCCTCCACCCCTGTTCAGGCAAAGCACTGCCATACCTGGAATGCCTGTTTGGGCTCACTAACTGGATGCCAATGGTCCTTGCCCAAATAGGTGAATCCTGTATTTCCATCTCATCCCTGAGCAACAGGCTATGGAGTGCAGCCTGGCACCATCTGACATGGAAACTTGCCAAAACACAATTTAGACAGCTACAGTTTTGTCAATTTTAGAACAGTGAGTTCTCGTGTCTACCCCTTAACAGCTCCAAAAGCCTGTGTTCAGCACCAGCTTTCCAGCTAGAGCAGCTGGATGGTTTCTGTAACATCCCCAAGCTACACCCACAAGTGTCCCTGTCTCAAGACTTCACTCAGGACTCCCCAGGCCCTCCACTGGCACGAGGGTGCTTTCCCATGCTGCCAGTTCCCCTTCCTCCACCCTGCTTCCTCTTCATTTGGGCCTGGGACTCTGCTTTAAGTGTCTCAATCCAGAAGGCGTCAAAAGAGCCTGGAGCCTGATATCCAGGCTCCTGGGGATCGAGGGCATCTTTGCTCAGCAGAACACATATGGCAGGAATGTTTCTCTTCACCGTCAAGGCATCAAGACCTGCCTCAGGCACAATGGGTTCCCAGATCTCCTCGATCTGTTTAAAAAGCACTTTGGTGATTTGATGGAGTTCTTTCAGCCTTCTTTTCATGATTTCCACACATGTGATGGTCTTGCTAACAGCCTTGCCTGAGCCAGTGAAAAGGATCTGCCTCACTGAGTCCAGTTCCATCTTGCCAATGGCGTAGCCCATCAGATTTCTTATTTTACTTCCATCTTTCACTTTCATTTCAATGATATCAGGAGGCAGGTCAGTGAAAGGAAGAGGACAAGGTTTCTCTACAATTTTGGTCTTCTTATAGTTTTCCATTCTGTTGTGCTGAAAAGGAAAATGGACCCATGAATACTGTAATTAAGGCTCATACAAATCAATCAGTGCGGGCTTTCCCACCCACCAAGAAGCTCAGCAGCATCTGCAGCTTCCAGCAACCTGTGCCAGCACAGCAGAGCTTGAATCTGAGGCTGCCATTGGCACGATTTCAGCCTCACTGACCACGAGAAAAGTCTCAGCACCTCCACGCACCTGCAGCTGAGAAATTTCTAAACGCTGTGCAAAGGACTTCTTCCTCCAATTACATGTAATCTTTTCTCCAAAGGGCACCGTCAGGTTTTGGCACCCAGACAAGGCAGATACAAACTATCCACCAGAATACCCCGGATGTGCAGAAGTGCAAAGGGAAGCGGTCATTTCTAGCACAGGCAGCCTAGGCACCGGTCAGCAACATGAACGCTGGGGTCATTGGGAATGAGCAGCGCAGGTTCAGCTGGCGGAATCCTGGGGAAAAGCAAAGAACAAACGAAAGAGTTCAGGTAAGTGGGCCCACGCTTTCCCCCCCTTTGGGCCTGTAGTCACGCCCGGCTCCCGGACAGGCCCACCGCACGCACGGCGATACGGCCGCGGAAGGGCGGGGGCCAAAGAGAGGCTGGAGGAGGCTGAGCCCCACAGGGCCAGTCCTGCAGGCCGGCCGCCGCGCGGGGAAGAAGCACGGGGCGGGAAAAAGTCCCGCGGTGAACGGGAGTCCATGTCCGGATGCGCTCTGCAGGCTCCGGGCTGCAGGACGGGCCCGACGCAGCCGGGCTGAGCCTGGGAGCAACCGGGAACCGCGCTCACCTACCGGCGGCGCCGCACCGCGCCCCTCGCCGCAAAATGGCAGCCACCACGAGATGTGCGCGTGCGCTGGGACTGAAGGGCGGTGCCCCGCTTACGCTCCGGCTCCTGATTGGACGTGGAGTCCAGGTGGGCGTGACGGAATGGTGATGTCAGGCCCGGCCGAGCTGAGGTCAGGGAGGTGGATCCGCGTCCCCCAGAGCGGGAGTTTGAGGACGGGGTGATACGGGGCCGTGGGACGCGGAACCCACTGCGCGGGAGCCTCATGTGCCACGTTCCTATGCCCGCAGGCTGGCAGACAACGCTTGCGACTGAGGAGATGGTGGCGGCGAGGAGCAGCAGCACTGCAGTCAGGTGAGTCTCCTGTGGATCAGCGCCAAGCCCCACGCTTGCCCTGATGCATGCCAGGCAGTGCTGGGCCCATTAGAGGAGCCCAGCCCTGGACTGGGAACTGGCACGCTTCAGGTCGGCCAGATGGGCCAAGGGCGTCCCTGGGCTCAGGCCCCCTCCCTATTTTGCAGGTGCTGACAGAGATGTGTGGGCCTTGGTGTTCCTGCTCCATCTGCAGCTGCTGTAGCAAAGCTGACCAGGAGCTGCAGCAGCTGGTGCCTGAGCACGTGGGCACTCTGGGCCCTGACTTTTGGAAGACAGCCTGGAGGGACCTGACAGAGCTGGTAGCGCCTGTCCTGCTGCAGCTCCCCCAGTGCCCAGAGCGCTACCAGAAGAAATGATGACAACTCCCTGACTGCAAAGAGGAGCCCCAGGAAGGATGGTGCCCAGCCACACTGCTCAGTCTCTAAGGAGTGAAAGAGTATATAAAGAACTCAGCATTAACGTGGCACAGAAAAGCATCGAAGTGCATCTGGGCACCCTGTCCAAACAGCTACAGTGTTTCAAGGAGCAAGCAGGGAGACTGCGGTGCCTCCCTGTCCTAAACTCACCCAGCCAGGGCAGTCCTAGTCATTGCTGCAGCACAGGATGAACTCCTGTCTGCAGGCAACCTCCTCAGGAAAGAAAGGCTGAGACAGTGAGGGGATGTCAACATCACCAAGACATCCCAGAATGTGCTGGTGCCAGGACCAGCACAGCTGCTGATACTCCAGAATGTGGAGCTGAACTAGGAGTTCAACAAGTGGGTATTGCAGGGCCTGGGGCAGAATACTTCTACCACTGACAAGAGCTGTGTAGGGGTCACTGGAATGCTCCTCAGGAAGAGAGTATACAGAGAGATCCTGAAAGTCTCTGGTGCAACCACGACTGAGATTCAGGGCTCTAAGGCACACACGAGCCAGTGACTGCCCCTCTGTCCAGCCATCGGTGAGGGGGAAGACTGATCTGTGCCTGGAGGTAAAGCTTCAGAGATTCCTTAGAGCAGTACGGCAGTCCACTGAACAGCTGCAGTGCCCATGGCCACCTTGGCATGCCAATCTCTTCCTCATCAATAGGAAACACCGCCTGCAGCCAGCTCTTATCACACAGCAGCAGCTTGGGGAACCCTCCACCTGCTCAGCTGCATGTAGGGCAGCAGGATTCAGCTCAGTGCCCATCTGCTTCCCCAGCTGTAAGGCCACATTCCTGCCTGTGAAGCAGTGCTGTGGAAGGAGGGCTCTGCCAGCATCTAAATGACTGCTCCATCAGAAGCAGCTGGCGCTGAGGCATGCCCCAAAGGAACTAAGGAAACAAGTGATGGCACCATAGGAAAAGCAGATGAAAGAGCACCCAGAGCACCCACTTCAAAGAAATAAAGTGACTTGTACGGATGAGTTGGGCTGAAGAGCTCTCATATCCTGCATTGCTCACTGGCAGACGTATTGGTGATGGAGGTGTGACTTTCAGCTCTGAGATTCACACAGAGGGTGGTGATACACTGGAACAGGTTGCCCAAGGAGGTTGTGGATGCCCCATCCCTGGAGGCATTCAAGGCCAGGCTGGATGTGGCTCTGGGCAGTCTGGTATAGTGGCTGGCGACCCTGCACATAGCAGGGGCTTGGAACTAGATGATCATTGTGGTCCTTTTCAACCCAGGCCATTCTATGATTCTATGAGGGAAGTGTACTACTCCTTGTACAGGAGGACAAGGTGATGAGAGTTAGATGAGGATTAGTCAAGGAGAACCAGCTATTCCTCCTGGAACTCCTTTGGCTCACCTTCAGCTGGGCATGCCACGAGGCAGCCTGGGACTCTCAGCAACTCATCTGGAGGCAAAGCACCAAGCTCAGTGCCACATCTTTGACCAAAGGGGGCTTTGGGCTCCCACAGTGTCAGCAAGAGGCCAGCATCCCCTTCTACAAGCAGTGATCTGTGTGGTACATAGTCGCTCCTTTGGCTCACCTTCACCTGTGACCCAGGTGTCAGATCTGCCTGGCTTCCAGCCTACCTTGTATAACACACACATCACCCCTTCACTGTCATATTTTCTACAAGCCACACAGGATGGTTTAGGAGCTGCTGGCTTCACAAAGGCATATGCTCACACTAAGAAAGTGGACAAATCCCATGCTCCAGCCAGAACAGGCAGGGGGCAGCAAATGCCTCTTTGCCAATAAGAAAGGACTGGCTGGGGCTCTGACTCACTTTTTGCCATTCTAGTAAGCAGAGGAAGGACGTAGGCCAGGGTCACTTGCTCCTCCCAGTCTCCAGGAGTTCCCATTTTCACTGTCGCACAACAAGACACCAGCAGTCACCCCAGGAAGGGACACGCAGATGACTGCTTCCAGTTCACGCTAGGCATAACATTGCCTTATGAGACATCAGCCGTGGGCAGTTGGCAGCACATGGATCTGCCTGAGTTTAACCAGGCATTCTGTGCCACTCATGCATTCAGGGTAGGAAGAGACAAGCCAGGTAGTGTATTAGAGCTTTACTATGATCCACAATAAGAGCAAAAAGGGATTTTTAAAGTACGTTACCAGCTTGAAAACATAAAAATGCAAGACAGCATATTATTAAGAGAAAACTATATGCAAACAGTGGCATATTGACAGCGCAGCTTTGATTAAGGACCACAAAGCCAGGGTGCCCCCACGAGCCTGTGTCATCATTTGTAGCATACTCACGGTGAGTATAAAGATGCTGAGGCAAGAGGATGCAAGCAGCTGCTGCAGTCTCTCCTGAGTAACTCAAGGCCAGCAGGGTCGTAAGACCTTGGCTCTTTGCCCTCCCAGCTTTGCCATCACTCTGCTGTGGGTTTCACTTCACTGGCTGCTTCCAGCTGTGTTAGTATTTCATTCCACTGGACAAACTGCTTGGAGAGAAGCAGAGTCTGGATATTCTTCTTAAGGAAAGAGAAGTGAAAACTTCAAGGAGGAAACAGTATAGCCAGAGCAGCCCTCATCAGCCTGACAGCACTGATATAAAACCAATTCCTTGACAGAGAAAAAGGTGAAGGAAACTGGATGTATACTACATAGACTCAAACCAAGTACACACCAATGGGTATCCAGAAGCCACTTCCAAACACTGCACAGCTCTGCAAATTAAAGGTCTTCCTTCAGAGAAAAGCAGAGCTCCCCCACCCACTGTAGTTCAGGATGCGTTCCAGCACTGGGATGAGAATGAGCTGCTGCAAGGCTCTGGCAGGTCACAGGCACATTCAAATGACATGCTAGCTCCTTTGTGCCACGCCACACTGTAAGCAGATCCAGCAAAAAAGCTTTGTCTCACAAGCAACATCCTGCCCTTCCTGTCTCAGATAGGCAGTTCTGTCTCTCAGCACTGTATCAGGACTCCACTCCTGAGGTAAGTATAATGAAAGGAACACAAGCATCACTACACCAGAAAAGGTACTGGCTATTAAACCTAAGGCTGGACATTGCCTGCTTCCAGCTACCTGATAGGACAAGGTGGCCCAACAGACAGGTGCGCAGTTCAGTCCAAGGCACCAGCTAAAAGGATACTGTCTTGTTGTAGTTTTCCAAGAGCATCTTGACTTCATCAGTAAACTGCTCACACTGCTCCTGCAAAAAACAGTGCCTCAATGAGTAAGCAGTAAATAAGTTAAAGGACATCTGTAATTCCAGGCAACACGAGGGAAACCCTGTCCAAGGCTAGTACCAAAACTGAAACTCAGGCCCTGGCTGTGACCACTCACCGTGGCTGAAAGAGTTTCCATAGTTGTAGTAAAAATTATGAAGAAACACCCATGCTCACACAGTGCAAGAGCACCCATGCTAGCACTGGTGCGTGCTCTTTCTTAGCATCCGTGCTTTCCTTGCCTCAGAAGGAAAACATAAGAAGGGGGACATTAAGTGCTGCCCAGGCTACACCCTCCCACCTCATGGGGTACTCAAATGGGGAAGGAAAGAGACAAAGTGACAGCATTAACAGCCTTCTAGAGACTGGGACACTGAAGAAGTGCAACATTTCAGTGTTCCAGTGAAAAGCAGAACAGCAGCTGGTTAAACACACTGCTGCTTACTAAGAGGTGCTCAAACCTCCATTTTGAGCAGCTTATGGTAGGTAAAAAGCTTTTCCAACTCAAAGTCAAATGTTAGTAATCCTAGGTATCTCCCCCAAAAGTTCTTAAACTTTTTTTTTTTTCTTGCTGCAGTTTTAAAGGTGTGGTATAAATGATAATTCAAATAGCTGCAGATACAAGGGTATCATCAGTACACCCACTATCAAATGCTTCCTTCTTCTGGCTAGTGAAGACAGTCATGAACATTCACACTACCTGTTGCTGTATCTGGATTTGAGAGAGTCGCTGTAGTTTGGCTGCATGTTCAGGAGCCGCTGAAAGCACAAAAATCCATTTTGCTTGTTTTACATCATGAAGGATTAATTATTAAAAAAAAAAAGAACATTGCTTCTCCAAGGGCATGTCATAGCAAAATTCTGCTCAGTGAATTCAAGTGCTCCATTCCAAAAACGTTTTTTACACAATTAAAAAAAGCCAACTAACAGAAAAACCCACATAGCTACACTGCACACTAAATAACAGGTTTATTTGCTAACTACTTGAGTTAGGGTGAGTTAGCAGATGCTTGCATTGAGGGAGTAAACAATTAGATGAACACTGTAGTAAACATTAAAAGAAACATCTCTGCCTACACAAGGAACACTGATGTTCTGGATATAAGACAGCACATAAGCAGAACCCAGGAGAGTCACCAGAGCCTGGGGATTGCACATAGTGCTTAGTCATAGTTTCTCACCCTTTGCCAAGCCACTGCCTCCAACCTCTTTACTGAACTACACAGTCACCTCCCTGACCCCTTGGTGCAGTGGTCACATTCCCACCCCAGGTGTGCTTGGTAACAGCTAAGACATTCAGCAGTGCTCTGTTAGACACTGCACACTTTCTAGACATGGAACATAAGAGCAACGTGAGGCAGGAGCAGATATACCACTGTGTTTACCACAGTATACCACTACTTTATTGACACTAAGTCGTGTGCTCAGCTGTTCTCAAGTCTGAGGCTCACAAAAAAATGAACAGCACAGACAACAGCTTGGAGGATAGCATTTGCAACTGAGATACCTGGCGTACCTTGGATACTGGCACTGTCTAAGATGGGCTCAAGGTTCTTCACCTGCTCCAGGAGGGCTACTCGGGAAGGTAGAGCCTGTTCCTCTGATCAGGGAGAGATAATAAGGAATATTAGGAAATAAAAATAGAGTTTTAGCTTCTCACAAATACTGGTGCATTAGTGTGTATGAATCTGTTTTCTAAACCATTTACACACAACACACCAGAGAACAGCTTGGCAAATACAGAAAACAAAACTCATAGCCAAAGCTAGAGTAAAGGCATGAAAGTCTCTGACAACAGACTTGGAAGTTCCCAAGTTAAAGGAGCTCTTAAACAGGTCAGCTATAGCCCCACCCCAAAAAAGGACTTATTCCTACTCCAAATGATGACCAGCTGGAACTGCCACTCACACTCCAGCTCCTTTTTTCCAGTTATTTACCTCTACAAAAAAAGAGCTTGCTTATGATTTCATTCAGCCTTTTTTGTTGTTCACGAGTACATTCTCATTCATGATAACTTAAGTCAGAAGTATCTCCACGAAAATTAATTCACTATAACCAAGATAAGGCTGAACCAAGTTATTTGGGGGCAAAGGAGAATAAAGCTAGAAGGTATTTAATATATACTCAAAATCCTCCTGTTTTTCTTACAGTCCTCAGAGTATTTAAAAAAAGGGTGAAGAATGCTATTCAAGCTCCATCTTTTTCTTTTCAGCCTTGTTAATTTATGGATAAATTGATCTATAGTTAGATCAGAAGAGATAAAATGACAGCATGGACATGCGCAGAGGAGCACAATGGGGGGACAGACATCCTCATAGAAATCACATTTTAGTTAGCTCTAAAGAGGTTTGCTTTTTCACAACTTTATAACTAAACAAAGTAACTCAACCCAATCCAGCACATGCAAAATACAGCTTCGGCAGTGCTAAAAACCTGTTTCCTTTCATTTTAAGCCATACCTGCCAAGATGAACTCCAGCTTCCAAGTGTCTGGAACAGCCATTCTGTCAATGTACAGAGGGTCTAGGTATTTTATTACATCTTCAACTAAAGCAAAAGATAGGTTTGAAGACACAAAGTAAGAAAGATGTTACTGCTTTTACAAGTGGAATTCCCCATGGCACTGCATCACACAAGGCTGCTTTGTAAACACCCTACATTTAGTGCTATTTTTATTCAGATTCACCAATGTTTGCAGCACTTGATGACAAATGACTTTGGAAAGCCTTGGCCAAGAACTTATAAATGACTCAGGCCCAAATAACTGCTCTGTTACAGACATCTCCATCACTTACTTTTTGTTTAGCTAACAATACCAATTAAATCTGCTTCTTCCTGCCCTTGATACAAAAACCAGAGGACTCTCCCTCACTGTGGTTCCTAAAATGATTTACAAATGTACTGTACTGTTTTCACACCTAACACTCATCACAGCCTTGGACCACACCGGCCGTCCCAGTGCTGCTCCCATGGTGCCAGGCCATGATTCTTGGCCGTGAAAAAGCTCTATGGGACGAACCACAGCTCTGTGTTCACAGTTGATGCCCCTGGCTTAGAGAAGGCTCTGCAGACATGATCAGCAGTACTGGGATGGCATCTCTAGTGCTTCCACCACACACAAAAGGGAGAGATGATCTGGTGAGTGGTTGCTCTCAACCCACAAGAGCTCAGGCCCTAGAAGTCCTCCAGACGCGTATTGTGCATGGCTATGTAAAGCAAAAAGTGGGTTGCAGCAGCCTTTTCTCCACTCCCAGCAGCTCACTGGAAGAATCACATTACAGACCAAATTGAAGTGACATTCTGCAAGTTTAAATCCAAGGCTTTCAAGTTTGGGGCATGTGTGAATTAGATAACAAAAAGTATTTATTTCATAAAATAACAAGCAGTTACCAGTCTATGAAACACCATTATAATTTCGGTGATGTTTGAATCCCCACATCCTAAAATTAATCATAGAATTATTAAGGTTGAAAAGATCATTAGGGTCATTTAATTCAACCATCAATCCATCGCCAGCATGCCTGCTAACTGATGTTCCTCATTGCCACATCTCTCTTAAACACCCCCAGGAATGGTGATTCCACCATTTCCCTGGGCAGCCTGTTCCTACACCTTACCACTCTTTCAGAGAATTTTTTCCTAACATTTAATCCAAACTTTCCCAGCACAACTTGAGGCCATTATCTCTCATCCCACTGCTGATTACTTGGGAGAAAATACCGATCCCTGTCTCGCTGTGACATCCTTTTAAGGAGCTGTAGAGAGCTACA